TTATTGGCATTCATTTAAATAAATTTTAACGGGATAAATTAATCACATTAAAATGGATTTAAATTAATGCCGATAATTATGCGCTAAACTGATAGCTCTAATATATATCTATCTACTGTATATCTCTCTCTCTCTCTCTCTCTCTCTCTATATATATATATAGATATATCTATATATATCTATATATATATCTATATATAGATATATAGATATATATATCTATATATCTATATATAGATATATATATAGATATAGATAGATAGATAGATAGATATTTATATTTTAAGCTAATTTGGCTTTTTACTTTCACAAAAATGGATGTGTACCTTGCCTACGTCATGACTGCTTCTTGGTGTGTATTTCTGAAATTTCTGAAACAACTTTGCAATTCATTTATTCTTTTTAAAAGCATTTGCAGTACTAGATAATCAAATTGAGTAAAGAGGTGTGATGAGACCTATTCTGTGTGTGTTTTAATATCTTCACTGTCTTATGCTGAAGAATGAAATAGGACAATTCAAAATTTTGCAAAGCATGAAAATCCCTAAAATGACAGAACTAAAGAGGGGAAAACTCCTGCAAGTCATTTTGTTTGTCCTTGTGCAGTCAGTACATTTGAAAGTATCCAAAGGGCGTCGACCACCACAGCAGAATCATTATATGGAATTTATTCACTTATCACAGCTGCTTCCTGCAGCTGCCAAGTGCACTGTCCAGCATTGTGTTATCTTTGCCAACAAACCATAGTAGCTATAATAACGTGTCTTTTCAATGTTTAGGGTCACAGCTGAGAGTTTAGGTGAAAGAGTTAATCATACAGAGACATAAGCATTCACATCAAAGGTTAATCTAGGTTTTGATTGGCCCTTGACTTGAGATGCAAGTGTGAGTATTTGCGTGTTGAAACTGGTGTTCCTCACATAAACCCACCTAAACACCACAAAAAGGCCCAATCCAACCTGTGTGATCATGCCTAGATTCAGTCCGAAATAAAAGCAGGAGTGAATCACAGTGCCTATTACGTTTTGCAGGTTGGTTGCTTCCATGATTAACTGGCAACCACTGCAGCATGTACCTCATCTCTGGCACAAACTCATCTTGGACATGCTGCAGCTCACATGACCTCAATGAGCACAAGCAGTGCGGAAAATGGAAGGAAGGCATACTTTCTGCTGCTTAACTAATTTAAGATGACATACTATTCATGCATAAACTTTCACTAATGCCCTGATATGTTCAGAACGTGTCTTGAAGGTGACATGAAACCTTAATGTGGCAACAGGTTGTAAAATAACTCATGCGAGCGACCCCTGATGAGACAAGCCATACATCCACCCGCACAAAGTAATGACATCAAAGCAAGGGTGGTTTAAACAAAATGATCCATTTGTATTGAAACTGTTGAATAGCAAATGGCTAACAATACAGTTCTCAGTATGACGCGGTCTAGTTCGACACCACTACAAATTACATTCATGCCTGACTGTCAATATCACCTATCAATTTTTGTATTGGATCTCTTTATGTTGTCTCAGTGTACCTAACACTGGCCACCAAGCTTGTATCCAGGATTAAGTCACTGTTGGCAATACAGGACTCTAGTGAAAAGAAGTTCCCCAAGCAGTCTGTTTAAGGGTGTACTGGCTTTATTTAGGACCACAATGGGTTTGGTTTGCAAAAAAGTTTCTTCCATGCAGCCTAAGTAACACAACTTTTGCATACTGTAATTGCTAATGTGCTGGAGCTGCTGAGTCAAAGACCTTCATATTTAAAATGTGACACCTCGTCAAGTCAAGTCAAATTGATTTTTATAGCCCTTAGTCACAAAAAGTCTCAAAGGGCTTCTACACATGCCCACAGTTGATAAATATTAATGACGTCCCCTGATCTTTAAACCCCAGGAGGGCAAGGAAAAACTGAAAAAATCTGGTGCTGTGATCTGTTGTTGATAGGTGTGTTCGAGGCTAGTTTTGATGAGCACATAAGTGGCGCTCATTTCTATTTCTATCCAGGCCTCGGCCTTTAATTGGCAGCAGCTGTTGTGACAAATCTGGTAGTACAGTTGCTGTTCAGGCGGACTCCTACAGACACAAAGAGTGGATTCATTCAGACCTCCCTCTCCACAAGCTTGCCATGGCCCATGTGTTTGTACACTCCGGTGGCACAGTTAATGTGAGTAATTAAATGTAATCTCGTGAAAGAGGCAATGAACACTTCCCACAGTTTGAACTCGTTCCAATTTTGGAGCGTGTGTATTTTTTTCCTCCACTAGAGGACGCTTGATGCTCGAGCATACATTTCATGAGAAATGTTGGAGCAAAACTTTCTAACTGAAGCTCCAGGTCGAGTGCGATCTGTATGTATGTAATAATTTGCTGATCCCGTTTCAGTCAAGCCAGTGTGAATTATTCCCAGCACATGGGGTCCGAAATTACGTTTCACCATGCGGGATTAATATATTCCTGCACTGGTCTATATTATCGAAAAAAATACAATATGAAAACCAGACAATAATCCAAGAACGCTTCGTGACCGAGCACTGACTCGAGAGCGATGGAAGGGACTCCCCCCCTTATTTTTGTTTTGATAATTCCATATATCATTAGGCTCACAAAAGTAGCTAATCGCAGGGCACACATGGATGAACATCCATTCACTTTCACAATCACCAAGAGATCATTTTGAGTGTTCACTTAACCTGCCATGTATGTTTTTGGAATGTGGGAGGACACTGCGGTACATGGAGAAAAAGCACGCAGGGAGAGGGACAACATGCACACTCCACACAGGAAGGCCAAAGCCTGCAATCGGGCCCATGACCTCTGCACTGTGAGGTGGACGAGTTATCCAGTCGGCCACCATGCCGCCTGTTCTGGATAAGTGTACATTTTAATTAATCCTGACTGTGGATTTGTATGATAAAGAATTTTGTGTGACCATGACCACCCCACTGAAAAGTTTCTGGCTGTCCCTGGCCAGCACATTCACAACCTTAATCAGGACTAGCTGTGTCGATCAGCGGTTCTCAAACTTTTTTCAATGGCATGTCCCCTGTGAAATATGTTAAGTCAAGTATGCCCTCAACAGCGCAAAGCATTTTAGGATGAAAAACAAACAAATAAATGGCCTCAACACTGAGTGCTGCACTATCAATGTCTGATTTATTAAACTTTGCAACTGTATTTGTAGTGTTATCTCTTGAACTATTTGGAAATAAAAATAAATAACTAAAAAGAAAGAAAGAATTATAAATGGCGATTACTCATAAAAATAATGATCAGCCCCAAGTGTCATCTATGGAATAACGGTGTCGATAAATTCTCATAAATAAACCATTAACTTAATTTTAATTAAAAATGGAAACTCCTAAAAATATCATGAAGTCACAATTTTATAATTAAAGTGGAGATTGACAAGATTACCAGCACACAACATTGTATTGTTGCACTGAACGGAGTGTTTTTGCATCTAGGAAGAATGTTTTGTTGTTGTTTTTTTTTTTTTTTGCAATGATGCTAATAGATTTTAAAATCTCACATACCCTAAAGTGCCATCTCGTACCCACTTTGAGCATCACTGGTATAGACAACGGATGGATGGAAAAACATAACACATACACACTTTTTAAAAATAGTTGTATTTACAAATGTGACAATTCCTTTTGATTCATAAAGTACATTTAATGTAGTTACTTTTAAGGCCTTTACTCACGTAATATTCCACATTGCAACTTAAACTTCTACCAGTTATTTTCTGTTAAATAGTTGTACTTTTACTGAAGTAACGCTTTCAAGTGCTTGAAGCAAGTGTGCTCAAGAGTACCTTACAAACTAGCTACGTAAATTGCTTTGATAAGTGGTCAAGAAAAAAATGATAGTAATATGTCTTTTGCTGATAATATGAGTGCAGGGTTCCGTTGGTATGAGTGGCATGTACACTGAAAAAAAACGTGTGTGTGTGTGTGTGCGCGCACATTCACACAACGCGCAGGTTTGAGATTACGAGGCGGTGTCTGAGTCTGAGATTAGCCACCGGCTCCCTGAATTCCATTCCGCCTTTTACTTTCCCAGTGCGTCCCACACAGGACTTCCCTGTGACTTGCTTGGAAGAGTGCATTCACCCACCTCGCAACCACTTCACAGGACCGAAGCGCACAAACCAGCGCGCACGTTTGGTGTCCATCGCCGACCGAAAAAAGCCACTTCGGAGCGGATTTGCACTCCTCTTTTTCGCACCTGTTGATGCAGTCCAGGCGGGTCACGGGACGCAGAAGAGACGAGTGATTTCGTCCCGAGAAGCAACGCGCAGAGAGGACGCAGGAGAGAAGGACTTTGTTGTTTCCACTTTCCCCAGCAGTTGCAGCCTGTGCTGGGTTGGAGGAAAATGGGCTCTTGGAACTATGGACTTCTATATTTGTTACTCGCATGCCAATTGATTCCTGTAAGTATCATCTTTTGTAATTTTTCTTACCTTGAAACTCTCCCTCTGTGCTGTCCCCCTATTAAGTAAAAACCTTACCTCGTGTAAATCAAGGCAAAGCAATAAGAGGAGCTTTTGTATATTATTAAAGGCAATGAAGTGATATTTCCACAGTAAATGGCA